GGCATCCACCTTGATATCCATGTCCATATATTTGCCAAATCTGTAGGCAATTGCAGTGGGATTTTATTGGCAAACAGGCCTATTTTTATTGGCTGCTACAGGAAAACTTCTTTCATTTTGAGGTTTCGGGCTCCCACCTTTGAATGCCTGCTTCACGATATTGGATCGCTTCCGAGTATTATGTTGTTATTTTGAGACAATGCACATTTCCACAAATTCAGTCCCATTGTTGGAAACATATGTGTTTGTTGGGACTGATATTAGATAAGAGCTCCGAAAATTCCATTGCCGTCGGGCATTTCCCTTAGCTTTCGACCAAAGCAATTTGTTGCTGATCGTCAATTCAGCCATAGATGTGGAGATTTACCTGTTATTCGTATACAGTTCTCTTTCAGAATTAAAATAATTTGGGGTATAGGGAGTGTTTTGGGGCACAAAAAGGGCACCCATTATTCGATCAATCTCTCAACGCAGCCTGCCATTTTTTTAAGGGTAAATCCCTACAAACCAGCTTTGATCGTCCCTGTACCATCGTACATTTGGCTGGTGGAATGGCATATGATCGCACATAATGCATCGCGATATTCTATGCGCCATTAATGATCAACAGCATCAGTAATGTCCACATGATCGTTTCAGATGTGTTGCTTGCAAGAAAGCGGGCCAGGTCCTCGTCCATTTTGATTTTGGTGACATCACGTAATTTTTAGCATCCACAACGCTTGGTCCTCGGAATGAGCAGCTTCACACATAACGAAAATTTGGCATATGCTGGGCCTTTTCATTTTCTTCCCCTACACATACATATTAACTGGTATCGTGATTACAATTTTGTTGCCATTTCGACTAGGGCACCCAAGCATAAGGAAGAAATCACGAGATGGTCCGTCCCCCCATCCCCCCCCACCTGTGTCCGCTAAAAGCCAAGCACACCAAAATCAATATTAATTCCTTCCCAAATGACCAACAGCCTTCCGGTGCTGCAAGATGCAGCGACAGCAGCCTCCTCTCCAACACATAGGGCAGACGCCAGGCCTTGCCGAAGTCCTCGCAATATCTGCAGAGCTCTCCCAGAGGCCACACACCGTTGGACGTTAGTCTCTTTCGTTTCTTGCTGCATTGACAGCACGCGGCAGATGTCAAGCATCGATGCCAACGGTCGAACTGGTCGTTACTGAAGATGCGCTTGCCAGCGTTCTCATATCACGAGATTGCGCAACGAACTGAAATGTTGATTCCAAGGTGATGCAGACAATGGGTTCGAAGAACACCGTACACTAGGAAAAAAAGGGTCAAATAACACGTGTTCAAACGTGTGCAAAGTCTACGGGTTTGTGTTATTTTTGCGTTCTTAGCGTGCAGAACTCTGATGAAATGTGTTTATGTCTGTTCGCAAAAGTGTTATTTGGCCCTTTTTTCCCTAGTGATAATGGGCTCCAAGAAGGCGGTCGCCACGTTCGTGCATTTCCACATCCACTCACCGCACGATTGTTGCCCCAACAATTAGAAGGGGTGGAAGCTGCGAGAACGACCAGTCCATGATGAGAATGAGTGGTTCTGGGAGCAGAGAGCCGCAGCAGGTCGTGGCCCACGGGAAGGTGGACGGTGAAGCTGGTTTACCCAATGCTGCTGTGCGGCGGCAAGAGGCATGGCGGCTTGAAAGCCGCCGCGGAGGATGACCCAACCTTCCATCAAAGGCAGGCGCCAACAGCGCCCGCCCAAAACGCGGTCAAGGGTTGCAGCAGCGGGACCCAAAGCCAAGACAGGCCAAACCATCTTCAGCAGCCATCAATGACGTTAACGCTGTCCCCTCTGACCAACGGGGGGGCATCGCCCGTCGGCGGCCTACCTCGCCCGCGGAACCAAAGCCGGGGCCAACAGCTCCTCCCGGCATGCGCACGAACAACTCCTCCAGAATGTGCGCATCTGCGTCCGGTGGGGCGTGCGCCTCACCGTGCAATGGACAAGGGGCTGAGTCTCGGTTGCTCATAAGGACGCGATGGGGCAACACTGTGCGGCCACCACCATCGCCAATGCGATCGGGAAGAGGATGTGAAGAGCTTGTCCGACATCCAGGGCCCCTTGGTGGCTCCCACGTCAAGTGATGGCGAGCGCCGAGTCCAAGCCCATGAGTGGCAGGGCACAAGGCCCTCTGAGCCAGGGGGCAAGGTGATGGAGGACAGGTTAGATGGTGTGGACTGCGGTGGTGGACTGCGGGTGGAGGTGTTCTCCTTAACGGGCCAACAGGTGCGTTGGTGTTTGGAGGATGAATTAGGGCTGCCGGCTTGCCTCCCGCGTCACGTTCGTGTTGCGACACACAGCGCGATCGCGCTTGGGAGGCGCGTGCGTAGCAGGACTGCGGCGACCCAACGGTACGGAGGCATTGGTGTGTCGCGCCACTGAGGCGGGCTTTGAGCCCGGAAGGAGGACTATTTCTCACCAGTCCACAGCAGCACGTTTATTTGTGTGACAGATTCACAGTGTTCGCCAATCCCATCCAACGCAGCTTGGAGCGCCAGCTGCAGGCGTTTCTCTTCCCAATGCGATCTGCCACTCGACCGCCATGGCATTGAAAGATGGCCATGGGTTGGGATGAGACGTTTCGGTTGTGAAAAATACTTGCAGGCAAGCTGGCACAACCACACTTTCACCTAGGCCCACTTGGAACGCACAGGAAGGCGAGGGCATTAGCAACGCAGTCCGCCCCAATTTTGTCGTGTTAAGTGGATAACGCGATCGTGGCAGCAACAAAAAAGACGGATCTCAATCAGCACAATTGTTTCGCACTCATCAGCGTACCAACTCTATTCCCCATGCCCAAGCAAGAAAACGCAACAATTGTCGGCACCCCAGAAATGAAAAGGGACGCCCAACAACATGCGCCCACTGTCGTTCAGTGGTTTGTGAGCCACGATGCACATGAAGCGAGAGCCAAAGAGATGGTCTCGCGCCTGCGGTACACAGGCAGTTATTGTCTGATAGCTCCAGTTAAGTGCCCAACATTGTGCACTGCTATACAATCACGATTTGCTCCAGTCTACCTCGCAGTCCTTGGAAACCCTGTCTGTCTTGGTTACAAAGAGGGGCGTCCGCTGTTGGTTACTCTGTATCATTGGAATGATGTCGAGTGACACAAAGGTCTCTCCCTCAGGGTAGGCTCAGGGCACGCGACTGCACTTGTGCGGGAAGGAATCTTTATTATGCTAGTAGAGGACACAGCATATCGATTTTTCTTATCTTAAAGTCAACGCCTGTGGGTGGGGATAGGGGTGGGGTGGGTGATTGGTTTGGTGGTGGGGTCATTCGAACGGAAATTTTGTGTTGGCGTTGGCAAATGGAAGCGTCGGTCCTTGCGTAGTTCAAATATGACGTCACAGGTATTTGGAACCAGAGTACTTTGTTGTTGAAGTGAACTTGTTTCTCGAGAGCTCTTGCCATCTGAAGCTACAGTCAGAATACGGGCGCGGCGCCACCAGCGCGATACGGCAGTAATTTATGGAAATTTGTGACATCGGACAATTCCACATCGTAGTACATTGTGGAAGACGAGCCTTGGAGAGGAAATTTTTCGCCAGATTCGCAAAATTCAACTGCTCCACGTGTCACGCGCAAGGTCCACGAGATCGGAAGTGCCACACCACAGAGAGATTTTGTAAGACAGCGTCCCGTCATCTTTTGACGTTTCTGCATTCCAAGTGAGGAAACATGCCACCTGGGCACGCGCATGAACACTGCAGGCAATTTCAACGCCAAGGAGAAATGAAATTTGAAACGTCAATGACGGCATCATCAAATTGGCGCCAACGATCCGGATTGCAGGAAGGTTCGTTTGTGCGAATGCATGTTTTCAAAGGGCGAGAACGTCCCAATTGCACAAACTGCAGCTGGACAGATGGAAATTCATGACTTTTATGTTACGTATTGCCGCATAATGGCACAAAATTTCCAGTTTGCGAGAATTTGATGGTTTCTTATGTCCCAAGGAATGTCGCCTAGTCTCGAAAGATCAAACTCCTCCAGGATTCCATTGGGTTCACCAGCACCCCAAATTTGGTTGGCGTTGCTGCAACATTGATAAGCACTTGCATCAACGCCGCTCTATAATCACGAGCACTGAAGGTTGGCGTTGATCCAAGGGCACATCAAAGTTGCATCAAAGCCTGCCAAACTCACGGATGTTCTCAAAGCTGACAGAGGGATCGTTGATGCAGCATTGCCGCAACACCGCTTGTCTGGGAACGTTGCCTCGAGATTCCTCGTTGGAGGGTTGATAAGCACTGGCGCCACACAGCCATTGTGTTAAGTCCATCTCACCAATTTATATGATCATTGTTTCAATTACACCCGTGCGTCAACCCCATCGACACTGCATCAACGCCAACCAAATTACCGGCTGAGGGGAACCTGCTTATCCCAAATGCCCCCAAACTTCACGGTTTCTGGAACTCAAGACACCCTACAATACTGCACAGTAGACAACACACAATACTGTACAACCCATAATACATCCCAGGACTGTATAATGTACAGTGTACATCCCAAGTACGTCAGCTCATGTTCACACCGGACAACACTTTTACCAGCAAAAATCAGCCGTTGTCAGCCCAAATGAATTCAACCCCACAACGCCCAGTACAGGGATAGATCGCCTCGAAAGTCTCAACACCCGCCGACGCCGGCCAATTCTCGTATATTTGGGGCGTCCGACGACGGAGAGCGAGCACTTCCTGTGGATGCGCCAGCAGCACCGATGACCCAGCTCACCCCTTGGACGACGTTTAACCCCCGATTCCAGCCGACGGATCTCCAAGTTTGGCAACCATGTCGAGTGTCGCACCCCCTGGCTTCCAACACTGGCAGGGAGTTCAACGCTTCCTTCCAACGCCGGCGGAGTTCGAGCCCTTCCCTTGAATTTTTATTGCCACGCCATGTCATGACCTGGGTCCCCTAGACTCGCTTTTCAGATCAGAGAAAGCGAATATAGATGTGTCGATCGCAGGTCAGAGCTCTTCATGTTGGTCCGTTTGGCCCACCATGCCGTTGGTGTTGCGACAGTCCTTGTGATCATTTACTTGAACGAAAGATTGACCTACACCAGAGCTCGCCAGCCAATCTCGATTAAGCGTCAGGTTCAGAAGCCCGGCTGCGTTGGGACCTTCGTACGAAGTCATGCCCAACAGAACCTGTGGATGATGTAGATCGGAGCCGTTGGACCAGAACATGGGGGCCCCCAGGTCATCTGCGCAGCATCCCACAACAGTCAGGCCGCACAGTCGTTCCAAGTTCACGCAATTTCAGCACACGAATTTTAAAAAGCGGAGCTGTGAATGGAAGACCGAAGCCCAACGGGGCAATATTTGGTAAAAAAAGAAAGAGAAAGAATTCGTACAATGGGCAACCCTTGCTAGGCAATTGTATGCAAGGCTCCTTTCCATGCAGCAAAGGATGATATATGCCTCGCAGTCTTTATATATAATAGAATTGTGCATTAGTATCGCAGCCCGATACGATAGGATGAGTGAGCAACGCAGGCGCCTCAAGGGCAAGAAAACATGCGTTCAAGGAATTGACGACGGGGTTTAGGGAGTTGCGTCAGTGTGTTCTGCCTTTGTCAACTGCCAACGAATGTAAGGGTGTTGCGGTGCATGTGCATGCCGCCATTGCGTGAGCCTGGGCCCACATGCATTTCGGCATTCACCTTTGCGGTACAGGATTCGACTCTGCCTGCGTCTGCAATGCAAAAGAAAATAACTTTTGTAGACGAGCAACGCCCTCTATGATGCAATTTCTGAAACAGGCGCCTCGCGAAGTTCAAATTATCGAAATTAGCTCACAATTCTAAGAAACAGATAGCTTCAAAACTGGGATTGTTAGCAACGTTGTATCTGCTGTAAAACTTAACACAACGTTTGACAATAGTGGGCCTGGTCACCGGCAGGGAAATGGCGGGGTAGTTTCGCCTAAACCATGGCGTGCCACCCGGACGTCCAATCGGCATGCATTAAAATAATCGGGCGTGCACCTACATTTGTAATGGTTGATCACTGGGGGCTGCGCACACACGTCCTCGTCAGATCCCTGTCCAAGCAGGTCGCGGCACTCTTCTGGAGCCACGATTTTCCAGCCGGCTATCCTCTGCCCAACTTTGGAGGGGCCCCCCATGCGCCAGGGCCTGTACCAACCGGCCGACACCAGTTCTCCCTCGCTTCCCACTTTCTCCCACGCCTCAGCCCGCGCAATGTTGCCTATGCTCAAGGGGTGCTGGACGGTTCCGTTGACTCTGAGAAGAGCGATGTTCTGACCCTTACCATTGCCGGTGTACTTGTGGTGAATAATTTGCTCACAGGCTCTCATCCACTGCGCAGGAAAAATACGCTAAATTGACTTTCGATGAGCATTCACGCATGGAGGCAATCACATCTTGCGAGTCAACGCATTTTCGACAGCGCGGCAGGACTGATATCTCGCGAAGTCCTCGACACTTCCACACCGAATTTCAGGGTGACGCAAATTTTGTCAACTGACGCGCCTCTCTGCAATAACGAGACTGGTGTTGGCCTCCAATCACCGGCAAGCACAGTTAGGCCATTTCCCGGAACTTTCTGTTCCTTAGTTCACCTGTGGCTGTGCACTTACGATGGCATTGGGCGACCGGGTCCGACTGGTGCCTTTTGACGCTGGATAAAGTACCGAGTCAGTGTTATGCATTTGAGTTTTGCATTAATTTTTTGATAGGTGCAAGAGCGCAAACAAAGTTTTCAACAACATGTTGCACACCAAAGTTTGCAAGTACCACGCAATTCGTTGTTCCTTTTCCGTTCGACATACATAGCCAATCTCAGGAAGAGCCTCTGTGTGAAGCATGTAGATAAGCGGTGCTTTGAACAGAACAAATAGACAAAGAAGGTGCACAAAAGATAGCAAAGCCGCCTTTGCCCCCAGGATCGAGTTGCTAATCACTGGGGATTGAACGAACACCGCACATAAAGCCGACATTGAGATTATTGCGAATGCCTTCAATACGAAATTTTGGTGCACACAAGCGCTTCCACTGCACGGGAACCTGAGCGCCGAGGAATGCTAAACAAGAGGTCTGCATGTATGGAACTGATTTGAAATCAACTGACCTTTGCGCCTGAATCTTTGCCATCTACAAGGGCAGTATTCGCTACCACCATCGGGAATGGATCCCTTACTTCACCATTTGTGGTATTCACACACGATGCAGGGGTCAATACCGTGCCCCTGTCGATGAACACCGCACTGCACAAATGGTTCCCTGTATAGGGATCCATCACGTTCGCCACATACGGAGGGGCACCTTCGTCGAGCTTCCCCTGGCCAAGAATGAATCCAGAATTGTAACCATGAATTGCTTTGCAGTAGTGGCGTTTTCATTAAATATTAAAAGACTGGAAGTAAATCGCACATGCACTGTTGGGGGTTTGTTGCCAGGAGACGTCGCGAGGTCGATGGGGCATCAGCAGCAAGATGTTAGTAATGAGAACTGCCCAATGTATGCGCGGAGGGATGCACGGATACATGGAAGGAATCAAAACGAAATACAGAAGAAAACACTGAAGTGACATTGGACGAGCTAGCCGCCATGTCTAGGCGTCGCCTCCCTCTCTGGGCATTGCCGCCGTATGCAAATTTGCTTTGAAGCAAGTGGTCCGAAACACCCAGATCTGGGTCTAGACACAAGTGTGTCTAGACACACGTATTCGACAAAGTGGGGTCGGTTGAAACAGACAATGCTGCCCGCGCTTAGACGCCTAAGGTGTGCCATGCGCAATTCATCCTCGGCACACTAAAATCGGCGCATCATGACAGCGCATACATGAAATATCGAAAATTCGACCAAGTGTTGTGTAATACGCGTTCGAGATGTGTGCTTCCATGTTCTGGAAATGAACGTGCAAGATAATCACTGGCCATATCTTTCTCGATATCCAGGATACGCACTGGGCATATCTAACTCGATATACAGAGCATAGAACATTTACCCATCCATACCGCAGTCATCCGTTTTCATAACACTATGGAAGAAAGAGACTTACAACAAAAATCCCGGTGTCAGAAAGTACCATAAAGTGCAAGGTCCAATCTACCTCAAGCCAGATGGCCCCATCCCAATCATATTCGTAAGCAACAACTCACCCAATGAAATGGGATATTGTAAGCAGCGCTTCATGGATTATTTCTATCTTGCATATCATGTTACGTAACTTATCTTCGCTACCAACAAGTTATGACGGCAAGCAATTGGAGATTCTGCAAATGAGCATCAATCTGTGATCGGTCCCATGCATAAGATGCACAGAACAATGCATTAGAAATTAGTCATCCGAACTCGTGCATCAACATAACTGTTGAATTGTGATGCAGACAAATGCCTGAACAGATAGAAATGCGTAAACTGTGTGAGACTCATGGCATATTTGCAGAGCGCTCAGGCTCACGAGTGCCGGTGAACTCAGGGAGCGAGAGGACGCGCCAGAATGGGTGCAGAGCGATGGTCTGTTTCATGACAACGCTGCCCTTCACACGGTGCGATGGCGGCGACAACAACTTGTGATAAGGAAAAACCCACCGGAATGTGTAGGTAACTCGCCGTTGGGTCCTTGGGCGCTGCATTCCACATACACACAAATGTCAACCAGCAGCTTAACATCTCACGCGGTGAAGTGGCGAGATCCACCACCAGTGATGGTCATGCTCGACCTGAATGCCATACTTTGATCGCTAAGCATTAATTAACTCCCAGCTCCAGCACCGCACACTAGCAGCCCACCAAGTGCTCGATATCACCTTCAATGCCGCGATATTGGCATCTTTGGTTACGCCAGTGCGTGTTTGCGACAATTGCACACCAACCCATCAAGTGCCTTCTTGTGCCACAACAACACAGAGGCGCAAGAAAGACTGAAGGTGTGCATTGACACGCCCGGACAGCGAACAGTCGGCCACTATTCCTATTTCGTCATTCGCCGAGGACTCACTCCTTGTGGTAGTATAGGTCTGGGCTTGAGGGTGCGCTTACTACTGGATCCGCGGGGCTCAGCAACGACCCTGGACGAGCAATTGCCCCCCCTCCGGTTCTGGGCTCGGCAGCGGGCGCGCTCGCGCACACTCAAACCCGACCGGCGAGAGACTTCGCGTGCCAGCGCAGGTCCGGCTTGACACACTGGCAGAATCCTCAGTCGCGTGAGGGCCATCAACACAGGCGCACTGACGCGGCCTTTGACTTGCTTGACTGCGAGGAGGCGCCCAGCGCGCGGCGGCGGCCGACCCCGAACGCGCAAAAGTCGAGCAACCCCCGTCCCCCCACCGCCGTCCAAAAAGCCGATGGCCCCAGCTCCAGGCCAAATCGCCCCTTCTCGGATCCGCTTTCCTGCTCACAGCCAGCCGCCAAGGCGGGCGCCTGCCTGTCAACTGCCACCTGGCACATTGGCTCCCCGGCCCAGTGCCTCTCACTTGGACGGCCCCATCCCTTGACCGCCACCCTCAGGGGGGCCGTCGGAAGCGATCCACACGCACAGCACCGGGGGGAGGGGGGGGGAGGGGGGGCTGCGGGGAAGCCAGCGGAAAGGAGCGGCTGCGAGGGGCCCCACCTTCAGGAACTGGGGCAGCCCTTCGCTCCGTGGCGCCAGGCACGCCCACGAGCTGCACCGTGGACGCCGAAACCAGCATCCAGAGGCAAGTCGTGCCCAGGAGCACCGCAGCGGCGGTGGTCCCGATCGCCAGAGGAAGGGAGGTGCCCCTTTTGGCGCCCGGGTGCCCCTGGGGTGGCCGGCTGGTTGCCGGCGCCATGCCGGAGTTGGTCCCGGCTTCGAGGACGGGCGCTCGTAAGGACCCGGTTGTAACGTCGCGGGGGCAGAACGAGAGCGCTGAAACAGAGCTGCTGCGAACTGTGCAGCGGGCGCCGACGCTTATGTCCCCGCAAGGCCGGTACCGTTCTTGCTTTCCGGGAGCTGCTATTTGCGTTCCGGGAAGCGGTACACCCGGGGCAGGGCAGGTGATGAGTGCTTGTTCTGCGGTTGGGGTACTTTAGACGTTGTTCAGGCGCCCAGGAGCGGAGGTTGGTTCTCTTGGCCGCGGAGCAAGAAGGGAATCCACCTCGGCAGCGGCATCCGGCGCCGCTCGCTGACTGATTATGAGCGTCGGACTGCCCCCCAATGTCATTTCGGTTGTCAGTGCAGCCGAGCAGCAATGTGCTGAGCATCTGGCGCTGTTTGTGCTGCCCGAGCCGTGGCAATTCGTTTGACATCGGCGGACTGGCGGGTGTGGTGTGTGTAAGTATAGTACAAGTGCATGTGCCGGTGGACGATGGAAAGCCGCAAAGTGGTATGGTTTCTGTCAGGCCGGTGCGAACTGATCACGGCACAGCGGACCGGCCCCTTGCAGGGTGCCCGGTGGCGCGGCCACAAGGTCGGTAACCATTAATCTTCGCCGTCGATGGCTCCACCATGAACCCCATTGCCCGCTTCTCGAAGTGTTGTTTTGTACATACAAAGAACATCGCGCATTTTGCATGAAATCTGGCAGGCCAATCTGTTCGAAGGCAGCTACCTAAATCGAACGTTCCACTGGCCGTTCCAGGTACTCTGGCTTGGCCATTCCCCGAATGAAATCCCACGAACTCTCAGTACTATTATAATCCCACAACTGATACCGCTTCTGCTCAAAACTCCCGTTACCAACCTCTATGCCTGCGCCCCGGACCTGTCCGGCCCCCAAAGTTCCTAGGGTCCCAACCCGCTACCAATCTCCCTCACTCCTTACCCTACTGCCTCTAACGCAGCTCCCTTCAACTGCCACATTAAATATGCACCCCACTCTCATTCGTTCACGACCGTTCCCCGATGATCTCCTAGTAACATTTCCAACGCCCCATTCCCCACTTTTGCCCGAAATGGATGGCGTCAGTTTACAGCTCATCTTTTGAAATCGAAAAATGACAATCCGGATGGTTGTTGAATTGAACGCGGGACTGGCCAGCCCCCTTGCTCTTCAGCCATCCCGTGAGTGGCTCCAATCCAACGTGCAGCGAGGTGTTGCTTCTCTGGTGGGATGCCAACCCGACGAGATGATCAGCACAGAACAGCGGAGAACCAAAATCCCCTGCACAACAGCGGACAAAAAAATCAGACAGGGTCGCTTATTTTTACAGGGGACTCAAATCCCTTATTATCGAAACGCCGTGCTTATAGAGGAGAATTGATTCAGAACCGGGATGCGACAATCCAATTTTCATTTTCCGTCTCTGCAATGCCAGGCAAATGGTGAGCCCCATCAGCTTCATTTGACCTCGCTCACTCCCACGGCTTATTAAAATTGCCTTTCGCTATTTTTGCAGTGAATTTGTGGAGCTGGCAAGTAGGTTTCAGTCCTCGGATCAAACAGCAAACGCCCTTCTGTCGCATCAACAAAACATAAGCACCTGGTTCACACAATTCACCGGCAGAAACTTTTGCGGAACGCAAAGGAACTCCAGTAACAAGCATGGCAATGGCGATGGCCACATTTGCCAAAATGGTGCAAAAAACGTCTTGCATGTTTTCAAATTTCCTCAGGCTCAACATGGGGCAATCAACAACAGACATAATCATAGTTACGTGTTAACTTACATCGCGTTGCATTTTGTTCATAGTCGTCTGTGAACTTACAAGGATTGCTGGAAATCGCCGGCAGCATCGTGCATACGTCCGTTTTGGGCAGCTTTCCCAGCCACCTTCGGCACTGCGCATCGGGTATGAGCGTCAAGTTGCCCGTCACTTGACCGCTTTCGGGGATGGTTCTCAGGCATCCAGTAGCGGGCCAGCCATAGGCATCCATGGTGGTCGTGCAGTCTACAGCCGGCGCAATGGTGTCCAGTGTCGACAGGTCTCTGAAGGTGGAGTTGAGCTTCAAAAGCGCGATGTTGAAGCCGTTTGCGGGGTCGCCGTCATACAGGTAGTGAATGCGCTGCTCGCACACTCGCGCGAACTGCGCGAACAAACGAGGATCAGTATCCACGGGAATGTGCGCTCAAGTGTGGGGGTCAACTAATTGGGGCGAAGGAATGTTATTCACGAGGGAACCATGCCTGACAGAAGTGCTACTGCCTTCGATGTGCTCATGCAGCGAAAACACGCAGTCCCAAAATTTCTCCGCATGAGATAAAATGTTGTTTCTTGCATTGTTTACTTGTTTCTGAATTGGCAGTTTTGCAGAACACGTTACGTAATCACGAAAGTACAGAAATGAACGGCTAACAGTGCGGTGACCAACACAGCCGGAAAAGATCACCACGAATTTTCTGTCACGCGTTCGGGCTCTTCCTCGATGTGACGTAGAAGAAAACGGGTCAAGCCCAGGGTCAGCGCTGGTCATCATGCGTGCACGCTTGCACACCGCTATAAAGGTTGCTGCCGCTGGCACAGACAACAATCAGCCATATAGCACAAAGGCCCTCGCAGGCGATCAACGGCACCTCATTCCACAACAATGCTCCAGAAGTAGCATCATCGATGTTTTCTAGCCTTGAAGGTAATATCGACGTTGCGGGAACTACAAGGGCAAACAACGGTACACCGAGATCAGGCGCTTGTGGGCATCTACTAGATTCGATGTACGATGCATCAGACTTACCCCTGCCTCCGGAGTTCTGCCATCGACGGCGTTTGAACCGAGCACCACCACCGGGAAAGGGTGGGCTTTGTCTGCAGTTGTCTGATCCACACAAGACGCGAGTGTCGCAACCATGTCCCCGTAGAGATGCACACCACTGCATGCGTGGATCTCAGTCCTCGCGTCCAGCACATTGGCTAGGCTTGCCGGCATATCCCCTTCCTTCGGTTCCATCTGGGGACAGGGCACACCGGAACAGTCAGACGGCATATTATATGGGTTAGTTATTATTCGAAAGCTTATTTTAAGAGCGGCTATTAGAATTTTGAGAGCGCTCCTAAAATTCGAGCAGACGTCCTCTGTGGTAGCTTAGAATAACAGCTGTGGACCGACGTTACATGTTGAAGAAAGCATATGTTCACGTGTTTGAAATTATGAATTGCTGTACATTATTTCATCTTCGATCAGTGCTGTGCTTGGGGTGCCTTTGAGCAAGCACCAAGCACGCAATGCTGTTGAGTACAATGATGGCAGGCCCCTGGTCCACAAGCACAGGAGAATGCCCCCCCCCCCCCTAAAGGACCCTCCACCGCTAGAAATTTGGCGCAGCACCGGAAGAATAATTATTCGTTGACTGTGCAGAGGGGCAGCAAGCTCCGCCTTGGGCACCCACCTGTACGCACAGGTACTGGGCGGTCTGGTCTAGGGCTGCGTGAACAACACACACACAAACCGTCAAGGTCGATGCTCACAGGCGACCTATCACTCTCGCATTCCATGAATGGCAGCACTGGGAGCGTCCACTCCATTCTGCGCTGGATGAGCTGGAATATGCCATTACGTCATCTGCAAGATTCAGGCGCGTAACCCTCCCATCCGCCACGTGTCTCCCCGCCTCCCCCGATACAGAAATGGAGATGAGAGATGAGGCCAACTTCACCATGATGAGGTATGGTGGATAATCGAACGGAGTCGGGCAGCCACAGCGCAGCGACTCGATCCCGAAAGCCCGCTGGCTTCCATTTTCCCGGGACTAGAGAAGGTGCAGGGGACCAGAAGCCGAAGTCTGGCCCGTGCTGCCGGCGGCACGAGGCACGGCGCAGGGAAAGCAGTCAGGGGTTCCACCCAACGAGGGCAGGTTCGCTCGCAGAGACTGCCACCAGACTCGAGGGGCGAGAAAAACCGCTCAAGAGCCGCCACGTCGGCGCCCCAACCCACGCCAGGCCCGGGGAGGACGGCCCACCGACCCACCAACCGTACAGCCATGAGCGGTCCCGCCCGTTGGCCGTCGATCTCCATTTTCGCCGCAAGTAAAGCTGGGTGCAATCCCCCACCGCAGCACGCCGACATGCACGGCCGTCACTGGAAATACGCACCATGACACATGACTGAATTCGCGCACCTGGTTCTGGATTGGGCGTGTCCATCGTGGAGCCACAGACGTCGTGCTGATTTGTGGGGGTGCCGGAAGCCACGGCGGTGCAAAGCAACAGGGCGGCCGCCGTCGCCAGCTCCATCCAAGCGATGAGCTGAAAGAGCCGTCCGACAGCACAGATCCGCCAGGGGTAGAGGAGGGTGGGCGCCATCGACTGTAGGGCGGGTGCCGCAAATCCCTGGTGCCGAACGCCGAAGGCAAGTCACGGAGAGCCTCGGCACACGACCCTCTGGGCCTAGGGGCAAGGAGGCGGGTGAAGGCTTGAGGGGCAGACTTGCGGGTGGGTGTCGGCGTCGGGGTGGCCTTTCATTCCGCAGGGGCCAAGGGCTGCGCTGCGTATCCGGAAGCTATACGGTGCAGCCTCGCCGTACTTTGGATGTCGTTAGCTGCGGGCTGGCCCCGCAAGTTGGTTTTGCTGTCGCGGTTGCAAGAAGCGGCCACCACCACGACCTCGCGCGACTAGCTGCGGGCGGATTGGAACTGGAACTGACCTTCGCCACAATGTGCCCCACGTGGAGCGCGGGCATGCGCACATGCAAGAGATGCCCCGCGGCTCCTGCACAGAGTCAGACAGAGCCTGCTCGGCGGCTTCCACTGCGCCGCATAGGCTGTGCACTCAGTGACTTGATCGGGCACGGGGCGTGGAGTGACTTGGCAACACAGGACTGCCGTGGTGGTACTCCAACCTGCGGCCGCGTGAGTAATCTCCAGGCTGTCCAATCACAGCGGCTGCGACGGTCACGACCCTTCGCACCGTGTACCAAGG